TAGTCATCATTGTTCATTATTTGAAATAAAATAAGTACATACAGCGATGATAAGATAGTAGCTATGAAAATTAATTCATGCATTGTTTCGATCACAATATATGGCATATGATGATGATTATAACAACAACAACAACAACAACAATAATAATAATAATAATATTAGACAGGCCAAACATTCGGTGCAACTCTATTACCTACCTTGCGTTAATTTTGTGGTTGTCAGTGTCGTTGTTGTAGTAGGTTTCGTCGTTGTAGTAGTAGTAGTAGTGGTTGTGGTGGTGTTGTTGTAGTAGTAGTAGTTGTGGTTGTAGTAGTAGTAGTAGTAGTCGTTGTGGTAGTAGTCGTTTTAGTGGTAGTAGTTGTAGTTTTAGTCGTAGTGGAAGGCGTTGTTGTAGGACTAGAATAATCTGCGTAACGTAAAAAAGTTAATTTTACATTTGGCGAACCCCTGCTCAGTGTTGTTTGCGTAACATCACCAGTTGTTGGGGTTAGAAAATAATCAAGGTAGGCGGAGGACAAGAGGGAAAAGAAAGAAAGAAAGATAAATAAGGAGAAAGGGAAAGAAAGAGAGAGAGAGAGAGAGAAAGAAAGAGAGAGAAAGAAAGAGAGAGAGGGAGAGAGAAAGAGAGAGAGGGAGAGAGAAATAAATAAAATGAAAGTTTAAATAAAACGATAATTTGAAAAACGCAATGATAGTAAAAAAATTGAGAGAAAAGTTAGGGAGAAATTAAATTCTGGAAGAAAAATAAATGAAAATAAAGAAAAACGAAAAAAATAGATCAGGGAGATGAAAAAGAAACAAAAAAGTGAGATATTGAAAAATAGAGAGTGCGAATAATTTGCATATAAACACGATCTACATCAGGGCACATTAGGATCAACGTATTTTTAATACGAGAAGTAAGATTTCTTTTGTGATACTTTTTGGAAACAAAAAATTAAAAAAAAATTTTGTATTCCCATTTTAAAATACAAACTTATAAAACACACACACACACGTATACACATACATATAATTATACAAATGCTTACACCACACACACACACACACACACACACACACACACACACACACACACACACACAAACCCAAACGAACAATACAATACAGTACAAAAAAATCTCCAAAAAAAACTCACTACAATTAACTTCATCGCCACCATCATTACAATCTTGGACGCCATTGCAGAGCTTCGTAAAATCGAGACAGAGTCCTTCGTAATAACAGAGGAACTGATTCGGATTGCATTTGTCGTTGTCATATTTGGTCGGTTGAGTAGATCGATCTGATAATGATGACGACGATGGTGATGATGACAAAGATAAAAGTATATAAAAATCAAAATGCAATACAAAAGAAATTTCTACACATACAACAACAGTCACTTTAAATATTAGGCGACAAAAGGTACCATTTGAGATATCATTTTCTATCTACTGCATGAACAAACAAACAAACGAATGAACAAAATGCAAACGAACAAACATACGAACGAACAAGAAAGCAGGCAAACATTGATCTTAATTGGCCTCTCAGTTACGTTGCGTGCATTGCTCAAATGTTTCTTTGTAAATGTAATTAGGAATTCTCTATTTATGATAATTCTTTTTCGCACTAGATGCGATTGAATGAAATAAATTAAAAAATCTACTGCTGTTTATATGTGTTTATGTGACAGTTCTTTTAATGATTCAAGTGCTTGTAAACGGAATTTTAAACATTTTTAAAAATTTTTAATATTAAATATTAAAAAATGCGTGCGTGTGTGTGTGTGATGTGTGTGTGTGCTTGCTTGCTTACATTCAATTAGTAAATTTGTTTGCGATGGTTTTAGAAAAACAAAAGAGGTATTAGGAGTGTCGTGTGTTTCTTCATTCGAAGACCTCTGCTCATATTTATAGCAGAGCAAACTTCAAAACCATAAAAGAATTTTGTTGGCTTAAACCCAGCAACAATAATATTTTGAAAGTTACAGCCACGAAGAACTTATGAATGAAGGTACCAAGAGAATTAAACGCTTGCCTATTTGTTATCACAAGGCATTTCAACAACACTTAATTTGATTTTTTTGTTATTTAAACAAATGATTTCACTGAATAGGAACACGCTCTTATTTCTTAAGTCTGGCAAATAATTTAAACTATTTCCTTTGAAACATGATTGCACCGCACCAGACGCACACGCACACAAACACACGCGCGCACAAACACACACACAAGCACTCGCACGTTTTCAAGTAAATAAACACAGCATTAACACAGAACTTCCCAACCTTAGTCCCCATTACAAGCAAACAAACATTAAAAATAAACGAACACAAGCTTAACAACGTACTGAAAATATTCGAACAATGTACAAGAAGCCTGCCCGCGACGCAATTCAATTTCATCTCAACTTCTTCCTCATTCAAAACGGACCCAAGTTGCAAATTTAAGAAGTCACGTGCTCCGGCGAGGGTGTGCTAACTACTCTTCAGCATGGTTATTAATGATTTCTATCCAGTCTATCTTCCTTAGAATTTGAAATTTTTCATTTCACGATGGAGCATTATAAAATCATAAAAAAAACTGTAAAATAAATTTTAAATTTAAAGTTAAATAAATTGACATTTGATTTGATTTATGTCCTCCATCTGTGTATGTATGTATTTGTGTAATGTGTGTGTTTGTGCGTGCGTGCGTGCGTGTGTAAGTGTCTTCATATTATTTCTATTTCCGTGTGTGTGTGTCTTCATATTATTTCTAGTTTTAGAACTTATTTTAATTATTTATATTTATGTATATATATTATTATACAAATATCTTTTATTACTCATATTTGTATAAATATTTCTAAAAATTGCGTTCCCAATGTATGAGTAATTTGATTTACAGGTTTCATTTAAAATGCGTAATGCAATGAATGCGTACGTGCGTGTATCGAGACAACAATTCAAAAGCAAGGTAAGTAAGTAGTAGAAGTGATGATTCTACACTCACACACACACACTCACTGACTCAGTCACTGACTCATTCACTCACTCACTCACTCACACACACATACACACGTACACATACACGTACACACATACACACAAACATACATACATCTTCTGAAGATAACTCAATAAAAGCGTCTTTACAAATCTATAATAATATAAATATACAATACCATCGCAATACTATAAAATTCAATAAAATACTCCAAAGTACACAGACACACACACAGACACACGTACAAACAAACAGACGAACAGACAAAAACTTTATTACAAGAAAAACGTGCCTGAATGACTAAGCGAAGCCATTAGTGCTAATAACAACAATATGATCAGTTTGAAGTATTTGAAGTATTCAAAATGCTAGATTAAAGAGATTATTATCTATGTTGTTGCTGTTGTTGTTATTGATGGCGGTGACGTCATCTTACTTAGTTGCGACTATTTGTTTTCAGAAAGGCCGACACCTAGAGGCGCATACGCGCAGGTACGCACAGGCACGCACACACACACACACACACGCATTTGTATGCATATACATTTGCAAAAGTACTCGTACACAAAAACGCATACACGCACGCATACAACTATACACACATGCATACATACACACACACACACATATATATAAATATAAATATATATATATATATATATATATATATATATACACATTCATACACACATACACGCAATTCCTCATAAGTCTCATTGCATTGTTAACAATTAGATTTTTAACAAGGCAGGGAGGTGCTGAAGAATATTAAAATTCAAAGTGAGGCCATTTTCTGAAAAGTTGTTACGTGAGAATTATGAAAAATCCGTCACTTATTACGTAATTTTTGTGTGTGTTTGTGCGTGCGTGTGTGTATGTGTGTGCGTGTGTGTATGTGCAAATAAAATATACACTAAGTATAATGAACAATAAAATTTTTACATGAATCAGACCAAGCTAAATTAAAAATTTAGTTTTTACATTGTTTGCTCACAATAACCGTTGTCAAACAAATTATTTGTAGAAGTAAAAAAAATTATCCACGTTCATAGAATTGAAAAAAAGTAAATTGGTACTCATTTATATTTGTGTGTTTAAGATATATGGATTGTGTGTGTACGTGTGTGCGTGAGTGAGTGTGTGCGTGTATATGTGTGTGTGTGTACGTGTATGTGTGTGTGCGTGTGTGTGAGTTTACGTGTTTGTGGCAATATTTTTTGTTTCAGCTGCGGGAGAAATGGTTTATATGTTATTCCTGTCATGAGGAATATAAATTGAAAACAATTATGATAAATGTTACGTCATTACATTCATCGTCTTTGTTATCATTTTCCGTCTTCGTCACGACCGTCGTCATCATTTGACCATCATCATCATCATTATAATTTTGGTCATCATCATCGTTTTGGTCATTATCACCATCATCTCTGTCATCACCATCTTGGTTATCATCGTCGTCATCATCTTGGTCATAAAGCTATATCATCGTGGTCATTCTTTTCATCAATTTTATTTATAATGTTATTACTTTCATCATCTTGCCGTCACCAACTTACTATCATCATTGTTGTCGTCATCATCACCAACGTATTTATCCTCATCCTCATAACCACCATGACCGTGGTGATGATAAAAAAAAAGTTTCATCCATCTTATGATCATCATTGCTAACATCACCATCGTATTTATATTTATCATCACCATCATCATCGTCGTCTTTGACGTCACTATCATTATCATCATCTTAAGCATCACCACAATCATCATCATCGTCGTCGTCAACAAAAACAACATAATAATAATAATAAGTGATAATGGGAACAATCTTTTATTCAGCAATAAAATCAATAAAAATGGCAGTACAAATAAAATAAAATAATGAAATAAAATAAAATTTCAAAAGTAATAAATAGAGTGTTAATCTGAGAAGCTCATCATTCGAATCGAGATAATAATAATAATAATAACTATAAAATAATAATAATAATAATTATAACAATAATAATAAGCCAGGTTGTCACGTGACTTACCGCAGTTCGTTTCGTCACTTCCGTCGGCACAGTCCCTGATTTGATCGCATTTCCACGACAGGTAGATGCATTGATCGCCGCTCTGACAGCTGAACTGGTTCGGCGCACAGACTGCGCGTTCATAATTAAAAATAATAATCATAATTTATAATCATCATCATTTTAAATAATTATTATTAATTAATTAATTGATGATTTATAATAATAATCCTCTCGATCAATCTGATCCACCATCACATCATCGTCGTCGTCGTAATCAGCGTAAATCAGATTTTCACAGGATTTTAAATAATAATAAGTATAATTATCGCAGTGAGGTCAGTAATAATGTTTATAAAATAAAATATTTAACAATAATAATACTAATAATAATAATTATTATTATTATTTGTTATGGTTTCAAACAGGAAATGGGTAATAACAATAAAAGCCGGCAGTTAGCATAATATTATGAAAGTCATTGTCAATGATGACGCGATTATGACGACGACAATGATGGTGACGATGACGACAATGATGGTGATGATGATGATGGTTTGGTGCTAATGATAATGATTCCAAAAGTGGGATGAAAATGAAGATAATGTTGATAACGATGATGGTGATGATGATTAGGAAGATAAGGGTGATGATGAAGATGGCGATGATGATGAGGAAGAGAAGAATGATGATGACGACGATGATGATGATGGTGAAATTCTTGACAATGTGTGTGACTAACTTATGGAATTCTTTTCCTTGTAATAAGCTGCCAAAATGAAATTTTTGTCATGCAAAAATTTGAATTGTTACTGAAAAAAGACATACTGAAAAGCAATAAAATGCTTAAATTTTAAGTAATTTGTAATAATTAGAAATAATAACAATAAAAATTAAAAAATAATTATAGTAGTAATAAAATTAAAATAATAATAACAAAAAGTTTCTCACTTGTAGCAAATCCGTGATCAAGATGTTGGGATGAAGAGGTTTGCGTTGAAGTCGTGCTAACTGGAAGGAAAAAAATTATTTATATCATAATAAATAATTATTAATAACCAAAATTAAATTATTAACAGTAATCATTTTTATTGTTTTTCTTTGTTTTGGTTATAATATTTCTTCAAAAAATTGAAAACAATGTTGTAGATGCTATTTCTTAAGACCAAGGTTATTTAAAGTGATTGATTGTTTTACTACTACTACTATTACTACTTCTACTACACTGCTGCTACTACAACTACTGCTACTACTACTGCTACTGCTGCTACTGCTGCTACTACTACTACTATTACTACAGTTACAACTACTACAACAACAACAAATACTACCACTACTAATATTACAACAACAACAACTACGACTACTACTACTACTACTACTACTACTACTACCACTACTACTAGTACTACTACTACTACTATACTATTACTACTACTATCTTCTACTGCACATTTAGATATAAATTGACAAATTGTTGCTTTTTAGAATTTAAGAAGTGCGTTATAAAAATTACTAAATTCGTCAAAGTATTTTTAGCCGATATCGCTAATTCATTTTATTCTGTAGTCCAGTAACTAAATTTCCAAGTTATTTCTTTTTTTTTATTTTTATCTATTTACCTATCTGTTACATGCATTTTTTCTTAATTACGAATGTTGACTATTTTTCGAGCTTTCGAGACGTCCAGCTATCAATCAATTAAGTTCTAATTTACAATATTGGATTAATCTATAAAATTAATTGAATGATTCATTGATCGATTAATTGATTGATTACATATTTTATTTATTGGATAATTAATATAGTAATTAAGTATTTGATTGATTGATTGATTAATTAATCTATTAAGTTATAAATTATATTTTGTTTAATCTCATACAACAAACCCGAAATAAAAGATAGACATATTATAGGATAGAATAGGATAGGATACTAAAGGATGAATACATTTGTTCGGTGATCACTCATTCATTCATTTGTTCCTTTACTCATTCGTTCATTCATTCACTCATTCATTTTACTTCTTTATTAAATAAACATAACTTTCCATCATTTCATTTTTCATTCTTTTCTCTCTTTTTTTCATTCCTTCTATCCATCAAACGACAGTAACATACGTTCCATATCCGTTATTGAAACATTTGTTAAATTAAATTAAATGGCTTTACGGGACCCGAAACAAAAGTTTTCATTTTTCTACTACTACTACTACAACTAGACTACTACTACTATTACTACTGCAGCTAGACTACTACTACTACTACTACTACTACTACTACTACTACTACTACTACTACTACTAATACAACTAGACTACTACTACTACTAGACTACTAAAACTACTACTGCAGCTAGACTACTACTGCTACTACTACTACTACTAGACTACTACTATTACTGCAGCTAAACTACTACTACTACTACTGCTACTATAACTAGACTACTACTACTACTACTACAACTAAACTGCTACTGCTACTACTACAACTAGACTACCAATACTACTACTAATACTGCAACTACAACAACTACTACTACTGCTATTGCTACTACTACTACTGCAGGTACACATACTTGTAGTAAAAAGTAGTAGTGATGCAAATCATTATTAACAATCTTTAACCGTAGCCGCAATTAAAGTAAGAGCAATACTGAACCATTCCTCAGTGATTCTACGATAAGAAACTTTGAATAAAGATTTATAAAGCAACGCAAGGACAAAAGATAGGCAGAATACAAAACAACATTTTCAACAACAATAACATCAACAATATCTAAAAAAACACCAACAAATAACATCAATGACATCACAACAACACGTTTACCATTATAAAAGTTATCCCAAATGAAAAAAATCCAATTTCAAAAATTATCCCATTATCTATTAAAATAAATTATCCCAAATAAATAAAATTTTTCAATTTTCTTAAATAAATATTTTGAAATTATCACAGTCACATATCTGTCTGAAATGTAACACAGAGCAACCAGGCAAGAAGAATTATTTATTAAAATTCCAACGCACGGTTTAGATCCGTCTCGGGAATGTATGTGACGAAACTCTATAATTCAAGGAACAAACTTTGATTACTATCTCTGTCTATATCACTACTACTACTACTACTGTTACTTCTACTACTACTACTACTACTAATAATAATAATAATAATAATAATAATAATAAAAGAATTCGACAACTAATACTGCTACAACAATATTACTACTACTACTACTACTACTACTACTACTACTACTACTACTACTACTACTACTACTACTACTACTACTACTAATACTACTGCTGCCACTACTTCTACTGCTACCACTACTGCTGCTAGTAGTATGAGTAGTTCTAATACAGCTACTACTGTTTTTAGTACAATTACTACTACAATTAATATAACTCTATTACTACAGGAACAACTACTGATATTATTTCTGCTACTGCTACAAATAACAATATATTACCAATACTTCTACTACTACAACTACTGTTATATTCCAACTATCTCATACTGCTATACCATATATATTGACACTACAAACAGTATTATTGTTGAGAATTTACAAAGGTCAAAGGTTATTCTTCCTTCTGTGCAACGGTATTAAACCGCAACGAAACACGCATCACGTGCAATACACTGTGATAAGCTTGCATTCGAACTAGGTAGTCTAACCAAGCGGAAACAACACACGCTGTCAATTTTATTGCTAAAATAAATTTCTGTGATCAATTTACACGATATAATAACAATGAAAGTGATGTGTGAATCAAACGCTGACTTTTTAAGGATTTTGAAAGTTTAACATTCAAAACACGCACACAACCTAACACGCACACAACCTACACATCTCTCTAGACTGTCAGAAACACCTTTGTGACATAACGTAGGTTATTAGGCTGAACCATTTATGCCTCAGAATGACTGAATTTCAATACAAGAGAGATCTCACTTGGTGTGTGTGTGTGTGCGTGCGTGTGTGTACGTGTATTTGTGTGTGTGTGTGTCGTAGTTAATGCCTCTGAGTAATGTAGATGAAATAATAATTATCATTAGCGAGATACTAAAAGTGTAGATGTTTGTTTGTCTTTGTTTGTCTGTGTTTGTTTTGTTTGTGTTTGTTTTGTTTGTGTTTGTTTTTGTTTTATTTTCATTTTTGTATTTCCTCGTTTGCTATATGACGCCTGCCTTGCTTGTTATCACAGTTACACTTGGAGCCAATATACCCGCTCTTGCCATCAGCATCATCCACACAATCGTCACAATGATGATTATTGGCGTGATTATCTACCTCATTATTTTATTCATCAACATCATCATAGTAGTCACCTTCCCCTTACTCATCCTCATCATCACATCATCGTCGCCATCATCATCACCATCATTATTCAATCGTCATCATCGCAATCACAAATAACGTCATCGCCATCATCTGTGTAATTATTGCTATGATCATCGAAATCATTTTTTCATCGTAATTATGTTTTTATTATTTAATATAATTTTAATTATAATTATTATAATTATTAATATTAAGACTACTGTCATTATTAACTTTTATGTAAAAAAAAACAGAAATAAACAAAACAAAAACGAAACGAAAAATACAAAAACAACAAAATGGAATTATGGATGGATGGATGGATGTATAGATGGAAGGATGGATGGATGGATAGATTAACAAATGAATAAATGAATGGATGAATGAATAGATGAATAGATGAATGGACGGATGGACGGACGGATGAATGGATAGATGGATTGTTTATAAATATTAGATGTCACGTGCGTGTTCTTCAACTCCCTGTTGTCAGACGTCTTAGTGTGTTTTTGCTATAAACGATTCTTTTAACATTATGTCGTTAGTATTAGTATCAGTAATAGTTGTTGTAATATTGCACTGATAATAGTATTTTTTGTTGTAGTAGCAGCAGTAGTAGTAGCAGCAATAGTAGTAGTAGTAGCAGTAGTAGCCATAAACATTTTTTTTAACATTTTGTAGTAGTATTAGTGTCAGTAATAGTTGTTGTAATATTGCACTGAAAATAGTAATTTTTATTGTAGTAGTAGCAGTAGTAGTAGCAGCAATTAGTAGTAGCAGTAGCAGTAGAAGTAGTAGTAATAGTAGTAGTAGTAGTAGTAGTAGTGGTAGTAGTAGTCTTTTTCTACTAGCAACAGTAGTAGTAGTTCTAGTAGTGTAGCATCTTCATATATTTGAATCAGGTCACTGCATCAGCAAAGCCAAGCACCTTAACCATTGTACCACCGCACAGCCCAACATTGAAACATGGAAGTAGTAATATTACAAGTATCAGTAATAGCATTGCTAAAAATAGTAGCAACAGTAGTGATAGTAGTAGTTCTGCTGACCTTAGTACTGGCTTTAATAATACAGCAATCGTAAATATACTCCCATGGTTTCAATGGTTTTAATATCGTCAAGAATGTTTAGCCAAGCGTTTATAATGTATTTGTGTTCGACCATTCAGCCATCCATTTCTTCCTTCCTTACGTGATGCATAACCACAATTTATTTCAACGACAACAAAAATAATAATAAGAAGAAGAAGGGGAAGGAGGAAAATAAGACAAATAATAAAAAGTAATAAAAATGATGATGTCAAAAATTATCACTTATCGCACTCACACTCACACAGACACACACAGACACACATAAACACACACAAACAAACGCGCGCACACACGTCACAATTTTTTTCTCAACTTGACACCCAACAAACCCAGTTCCCAAGCTAATCCTTATTTCCATCTTAACAAATTATCTGGCTAATAAATTATACAGGCGGACGAGGATTAATAAAAAGTTTTTCCTAAAATTCTCCTTTGAGGTTTTTTGCTAAAAATAGGATTAAAAAAGAGAGAAAAAGGAAGCGAAAGAGAGAGGGAGAGAAAACTGTGAGAAAGATAGAGAGAGAAATGAAAGAGAGATGGAGGCGGAATGAAAAATAAAATAGTTGGAGATGATGTCATGTTGATATTTTAATATTTTCAAGTAATGAACGAATGTCTGTTTGATTTAAAATTCTTGCGTCTGCATACATCATCCAGGGACACATGCATAATATATTAACGTAATGTGCTAAGTGTTCCATTCCATGTTTCTCTCTACATGTGTCTGAATGTCTGTTTATTGGTATACGTGAATGGATGTGTGTGTGTGTGTGTGTGTGTGTGTTTATATGAAAAAAAATCATTTCAATTATATAGTCAGTTTATATAGTGCGTGTTATTTGTGTACCAGGTATTTTGAGTTTTTATGCCAAATAACAGTGTTGTATAGATACGTAAGTTAGTTACACACAAGCACAGACGTATTACATATGCGTTTGTATGTATGTATGTATGTGTAAGTGTTTTTTTGGATGTGTGTTTAAGTGTGTGTGTGTGCAAATCTGTGCGCGTGTGTTTATGATGTCTATCTTAATTATTAAGCAGGAGTTAATGTTCCTAATGAATGGAACGATTGTGTGAATGTCTTTGCTGTTTTTTAGTCTACGTGAGTGTGTGTGTGTGTGCGTGTGTGTTCGTGTGTGTGTGTGTGTGTGTGTGTGTGTGGTGTGTGTGTGTGTGTGTGTGTGTGTACGCGTTATACACATGCTTGTAATATTTACTTGTTTTAAAAATCGTCATATTAGTACATATCGTGATCGATAAATAATTTTTTCTTCTAATAATAAACATCGGCAGTAATAAATATAATAATAATAATAATAATAATAATAATAATAGTGAATATAATAATAATAATAAATATAATAATAATAATAATGTGTCTGGGCTTTTTGTATTAGCGTTCATCTGTCGTTGGTTAAAATTTTGTAACAAAAACTTAGTATAAATGTGTGTCTATAACATAGATGGATGTATGTATGAACTATAAACTCACGTGTGTGTTTGTGTGTGTATGTGTTTGTGTGTGTGTGTGTAGGTGTGTGTTGATTAATTTACTTATGTAATCACCTAATCACTCCTCCATTTATTATACGCCATTCAACGTCTTTAATTATTCAGTTCATCGTTCATCAATTCATTCTTTTATTTCTTTTCCCTTTACTCGGGTTCATTCGTGCATTCCTTGATTTATTTGTATATTTATTTATTCATTCATTCATTTATTCATTCATTTTTTATTCTTTCATACATTCG